CCTCCCCCCCCCGCTTCCCAGCAAACTGACGCTTGAATATTACATATCTATTAATTTTGATTCAACATCAATTTAAACAAATATAGAGAATCAAAATAAGCCATTCAGCGAGGGGTCTCTTTTCAGCGAATTTGTCATGAAGCTATACAGTCGTATATATATATATACATATACATATATATATATATATATATATATATATATATATATATGACTTTTTCATTTAAATAATAATGTGAATAGTGACTTAAAATATAATTGGTTGTGTACTCTGTAACACAGTTAGTGAAATGATGAAATCTAAAAGGGGCGATGTGGAAATTACAAGATTAGTAGGCAGTCAAAAAAACTTTACGTAACAAGGTGATGATTATCCTTGAACACCAGCTGAGTACCCATTAGTCGGAAAAGAAACCTGATTTAATCACATGCCACTTGCCTATTTGGTGCGTATACAGTCCTGATGTTTTTCAGGGAGGGTTAGATCTTCTAAGAAAAATCAGTATGAAAAATGGATTTCAACTACGGTGTGCAGACAAGAACATAAAGTTAAAATCCTATGAAATGTGACATAACCCCTGTAACCCGGAAAATGCTGCATATGAAGCCTGAATTCAAAGGTGACTTAGCTGTTGACAACATCCTTAAAAGAAGGAACTAACAGTCCCCGCTGAAAAGGACATCCACTGCTACAGAATCGTTGAGAATAGCATTTTCTAGCAGATCATCACTGTTAATCAATAACCTGTAAAACAAGATCTCGCAGTTGATCAACTCAACTGCTCGTATGGAGCTAGGTATTTTGACTGTTCAACTCAGGTTTTGTCCAAAAGGGTTGAAGAACACTCACTTTCCTGAGTGGTTACGAAGAGATGGACCATAAGAAATTCAATCATTGAATACCTTGTCGATACTGGCCACTCTGTCTCTACATTCTCTTCCTTTAAAGTCATTTGCAAGATGAAAAATAACTTATCCAAATCACTAAGTACCATCCTACTCATCTATCGTACTGATGAAGCTTTGGCTATCGAAACAGAAAAAACGGATCACTGTATACACAAAAAAGTTGATTCAACCTCTCCAATTCTAATGGTCTTAATCTTTCAGTACTAAAGAATGATAATGCCCATTCATATTCTGGCTCTATTTGTTAGTTTTCGTTTTTTTTTATTCAATTTGCGTACTCTTTCCTGATTACGTCAATTATTACTATCATTATTCGCATTTTGAACAGTTTCCGGTATTATTTCACTTATCACTTTTATTTATTTTATTTAATATAATTCGTATCCGCAACATTGTCTTATCGTAATTATCACTTTGCTGAGTAATATTTTGACTCCTAAGTGCTTATAGTTAACCGTTAATATTTGTTGGTTATGCATTACTTTAGTAGCCTGCTGGCTTATTTTTTCTGGCTAGTTGGACATCTGATTTTCGGTATCGAGGCAGTAAATGCACCTAACTTTTGATGGAAGTCTATAGTCCCATAATGGAAACATTTTTGCTTATGTGAGCGCATGTACACTAAACCTCTGAACCCTTTTATCGAAACAGTGATTAGGTTGATATCAAAGCCAAAGTAAGCAATTTTGGCAGTTTCAAACGCCTCATTTTTTGAATGCGTGCTACCACAGTTTCCCAAATTAGGGCAGAATAAAACATTCAGTACGCTTCTTGGTGGTTCCCATCGACTCCGAATAAATGATGTATCTACCGATGATGAAATCTGTAGGAATGTATCACCAAACTATTTTTTTTTGCTTTTCCTCTTCTGCATCAAACTCTCAGTAAGTTTAATAGTCTACTCATGTAGAATTTATTTGTTTAAGTGTGCATTGGGTATGCAGGAAGTTATATCCATCCATAATGTTATGTATACACTAAACGCCACCTCCTCTAAATTCAATTAAACCAGTGTGCATAGATAAGTGACTACAGGATGAGCTCCATTCATAGAGGTCTTTTGGTTATTCGTGACCAGGGAGGTCCACGACGTCTGTTATAGGAGCAGACACTCGCAGATGGTCGCAGAGCTATACAGCTTGCTGACTGAAGGAAATTAAAATTTAGTACCACTATGGATAAATTTTGTTTTGATAAAGTCTCACAGTGTTACACAGTAATGTTTACTGATGACGTTTCGAGCACAATTTATTAATACTGCTCATAATCATATCGAGGTAATCACACGACCTCCTAGCTTCATTTATATAGCTCCATTGTTTTTCACTTGATTAGATTGGTAGTAGTATTTTCCATATCTCCAGATATGGAGATATGTGGATGACACTTTCACAGTGTTAAAAACAGCACATATCTATAGCTTCTTGACACATATAAACTCACAAGTAGAGGGAATAAAATTCACATTTGAAGCGAAAAATGAACAAGGAGAATTAGCTATGTTGGATTGTAAAATAAAACCAATAGAAGAAGGTATACTACACACTAGTGTTTATGGAAAACCAACGCATTCTAATAGATATTTAGATTTTAATTCATCTCATCCGTTAAGTGTTAAGGCAGGAGGCTTAGTTAAGTGTCTAACAAACCGAGCGATAGCACTAAGTAGCACAAGAAAAGACCTAAATTATGAAATAAAACAGATAGAAGAAGCGTTGGTGTTAAATAACTATCCTATAAAATTCATTGGGAAGATCAGAGAAGGTCAGAAGCAAAATAAAAATAATTGGGAAACTATTAATGGTAAAATAAATAAGAAAGAATATAAGTTATCTACTGTTGTACCATATAATGAGGGGACCTATGGGACTCTACGTAGGATTCTCAATAAAGCAGAAATTAGGGTGGCATTTAAACCTACAAACTCACTCAGGTAGGACAAGCTCTGTAGGTTACAGAACCCAGCCGACCCAACTAGACAAAATAATATAATTTACAAAATTCCTTGCAATGACTGTGATTCGGGTCAACTACATAGGTCAAATTAGTAGATCAGGCAGGAGTAGTAAGATTGCCTGTTAGAACATAAAAATTTAGCTAAGGTAAGAATGGTTGACCCCGAGAAGATTAGTAATTTAGAAAAAAAAACAGCAATAGAAGTGCATTCATTGACACACAATCACACAATAGGGTGGAAGAGGGTTACAGTTCTAAAAAGTAAAATTGGTAGGTAGAGAGAGAGGTTGATTACTGAATCCTTGTTCATCGAGTCTTCATCAAACACAACACATGCAATAGGAATGAATCGTCACTCATACCTGAAATATGGGAAATACGACTACTAATCAAATCAAGCGATGAAAAGTAATGGAATTATATAAACGAAATTGGAAGGTTGTGTAAGTACCTTGATATGATTAAGCGTAGTAATAAATTTTGCTCGAAACGTTATCAGTAAATATTACTGTATAACACTGTAAGACTTCATCAAAACAAATTTTACCCACAAGGTGTAGGAGTGCTGCGGTGGTCCAAATCGATCCTGGCATTCTAACACCGAACCACTGATACTGGCAGAATTATCAAGGCGGGGCACCTGTATGTAGCATAAATTCGCGTTTAAACCGTGTTTGCAGCCATTGGGTCACACATAGTGCTGTCGCCCTTGACAAATATGGAAACAAAAAATCTCGAGAATAATACGAGAGCAGATGGCAGACAAAGAACTCCTAACTTCAATGACTGAATGAAAACAAGTGTTTTCAACGTGGTGTGGTAACGAAAATATCACTGTTATGAACCTCTTAGGTTTCAAGTTGATCATTTTGCCTCGATAGCACATCACCATTTTACTGTGTTCCCTGTGGTCCTTTAGGTGGTTCCGCAATTTCTCATAAGCCTGAATCTGTCCTCTTTCGAACTTTTACTGTTAACCCAGAGCTCAGTTGAACTTGCCGTTTGGTTTGAGCTCAACTTGAAGACTTTTCAGGCGCTTGATGTCACTCAACTATCTCTTCACGGTGTATGTCTAATGCATCTCCATTTCCTTCTGAATATTTGTTAGACAGAAGGTTTTTGATTAGTTCGTTGCCTGTTGGAGTTCCTTATTGCTTATCCTTCCTTACTAGCCAGCCAACTGAACTGCAGCATCGACAAAGGACCAGTAGCCTGCTAATACAAATTTGCAGTTGCAATGCTCGAAATGCTCTTTGTGCGGCACTCGTCAGTTCTTTGAACCATATGGAATCACACTGATTTGATATTAGTGTTAAAGATTTGAAGCTTGTTCATTGTGCTGAATGCAGCAGATTTCATGCTGACTTCAAAACTAATGAAGCTTTCTCTTGCTTTTCCAATTCTCGGGTGGCCAGCTTTGACATCTTCATCTGGACCACTGCCCGGAGTTGAAACAGTGCTGCCTAAGTCAAGTAAATGAAAGCACAATGATGTCTTTTATATTTCTTTTGTTGGTAGGGATTGATGCTTCTTCTTCTTCTCCTCTAATGTCCTCTTGAAGTATTGTCTTCTCCTTTAGGTCTTTGTCGCCTAATATACTGTAGAAAACCACCCACATGAAATCTCACATCTTCTACTAGTCATTTTATTGGTAACTTCCAGTTAATAGCTTGTCATGTAAAAACATTCTGGATAAGATTCTGTATTGTGTATACAAACACATTTTTCAAAATGAAGCTTCCATTATTATCATTATTATTAATAATAATAATAATAATAACGCTTTATTAATTTAATGAACAAAATCCCGAATCACATGATGTTACTATAAAAATACTTTTTGAATTTTGAAAGATGCACATAAGAAAGGTATGTGGATGGTGGTGGTGCGCGGGCAGTGGGACGGGATTAACAGTGGATTCTAGGTGTGTGCACTTTTGTGCATAATGGTTCTACACATTTTAAAATTCAATCAATCTAAAGAGACTATCTACGCACACTAGATTATCGATCTGACGCCTTCACGTCTTGCAGACGTTCTCTGATTGGTGGATTTCATGATTACTTATGATGGAATCAAGCATCAATCAGCTAATTATGGGCTTTTATCCATTTTTTAAATTTTTTATTTACAGCTTGATTCCATACTGTATTATCAGTAGCCAATCAGTAATGCAATGATTTAGGAAGATAACTGTTAGAAGAGAGACTAGGTGTAAGACAGTGGAACAAGGGAGAGGAAGCCTCGAAAATGTGGTGTACATTCATATATTATATATACGGTGGATGAATTATTGGAATGAAAGAACAAGGTGGGGTAAGTTAGGAGGGGTGCCTGTGGAAAAGAAGGAGGTAAGTATTATATTATAATCTAAAACTGTACGTTTATCTATTGAATAATAATAATAATAATAATCAGTATTATGATTATAGTATCATGGTGATATATGTCCTAAAGTCCTAAAACTAGGTCTCCTACTTAATAGTAGGAGAAACGAAAAACATACTATAAATACATTAGAATTTAAAAGCTCTGGAAAAGAAGTAATAGAGGTTTGAATTCTGAAAGTATTAGACATTCACAATGCAGATTTCCTGTCATGAACCAACGCATCAATTAGAAAGAATCACTGGTAACCGCTACTGGGCTACTGGACGGCTGTTCCGTTCTGCCAGTTTCGGAATTCCACACAAGTACACGCTTACTGGGATCCGAACCCAAGACCTCCCACTCTGGAAGGCGTGCTCGTAGACCATCCAGCCACTGGGACCTGATCCAATACCTGTCTCATGATATGGTGTTATCACCACCGGTCAGTGTCACGTACAAGTAACTATCCCTTGTCTGGACGTGGTCTACGAGGAAACTCTGTAGTTAAAAGATCTTAGTTGCATTGTAACCCAGTGGGTGCGTACTGCGGAAGAGTCCCAAAGGAGAGGGACGACGAGACTATCCAATAATCCATACTGGTTTTTCCGTAGTTCTTATTATGATAGAGTGTTGCTCGGTCGAAAGTTCGTCTAAACTTGACTATAATGTTCATTATAATAAAGGCTTTTTTGTATTTCCCAATGAATGAAAAACAAAACGATATTTTTTTTACTAACGTTTCGCTATTTAGTGCCAATATTCCCATTTATATGTCTTGTTCTAATGCTAATAGCTTTATCAAAGTATTATTAAACCGGAATTTACAAAATCTCAGCATGCATATATATATATATATTTATATAACAAAGATAATAGAGGTTTTTTGTATTTCCCAATGAATGAAAAAACAAAACGAGATTGTTTTTACTTTTTTTTTTCATTCATTGGGAAATACAAAAAACCTCTATTATACTGAATATCATATACCCAATGCCCAAATTTTTTCAAACCGTTAAAAGTGAACTTGGTTTGGATATATATATATATATATATATATAACAAAGAGTTGAGAGGTGAGAAAATAGACTTAGGTCAACTTCAAAGGACATATTGAAAGTCAAAATAACAATGAAGATCACTAAACTAACTATCAAAGTTAATGGTACATCTGTTATGATATCAAAGTTTACTAACTTGATCGTCGTTCATCTGTCTGGGGTCATTTTTGGTTGTCAAGTTGGTCACTTGGTAGAGATAACAAAACCAAGCGTAGATTGTTGGATTTGATCAGTGTGTAAAACTATAAAAGTTGTGTGTGTTTGTGTAGGGAACTTGCTTATCACATTCGTGTTGATTTTGCCACTTCGTTGGGGAGGGGAGGGAGGTATTGAAACCATGCCAGATTCTGTTTTAGTCCATCATTCCTGTTCAGACAATCTGGATTTCACTTTATATCAGGTGCTTCTGATATTAGACGTTCTTTATGGTTTCTGAAGTTTTTCTGGATTATCTTAATATTGTCAAAATCAATTTTGTGGTCTGATTCTATAGCGTGTAGACCTATGGCTGATGATTTTTGAAGTTTTTCTTCTGATTTTGATTTCGAGAGATGTTTGTCCGATGTATATCGCATCATATTCCAAGCATTTTATTTTATAGACACTATTAGATAGAGAATCTTTAGGGATTTGGTCTTTTTTATGGACAAGGTTGCTTTGAAGTGTGTCTGATGTTTTGAAGAAAACTCTAATGTCGAGCTGACTGAGTACTCTTCTGATATTGTCTGACGTCTCTGCTCTATATAGAATGACGACTGTTGATGTCCATGTTTTCGGAATGCGTTTTCGGCCATACTTAATGACTGTGTTGATTTTGTTGATGAAGTTCTTTGGGTAGTTGTTTTGTTTGAGAGTTTCAGTAATGTTTGATATTTCTTCTTCTTTTTCTTGCTCATCCGTTATGAGAGAGTGTGCTCGTCCAAGAAGACTTGAAACAACTGAAATCTTTGAGCTGATGGGGATACTAGTATATAATTAGCTAATTCATAGCTTACCATAGGTGCTATTTCCTGCACCGATAATGGCTTTCTAGTGATATTGAAATTTAGACCTTTCTGTAGTAATGAGATTTCATTTTCGGTTAGTATCTTGTCTGACATGTTATGTATGGCTCTAATATTCTTAATATTATTTGCTCAGGTTATTTTTGGTTGTTTCTTTTCTTCGAGTTTTATTTATTTTTTATTTTTTATTCACAGCTTGATTCCACACTGTATTTTCGGTACAAGTATGGAATTTTCAGCATGGATATCGGTAGACCAAATTTTGCAGGCCGACCATAGATATCAGGTATGCGTCGGTGCGAGCTCGAACCCCGGACCATGTGCATGGTCGGCGAGAGTCCTAACCACTGTGCCACCGACGCGGAGACCAAAGGTAAAGCAAAACACCAAAAATGATCGACCAAATTACGAAGTACATTTCGGGACCGAATCGTAGAGCAATGATAATTATTTAACTAGCTAGGAATCGTCCACGAACGTAACACGACGGTGTGAATACTTGACCTTAAGCCTTCAGCTGGACAAGGCGACTTAAACAATGACGGTCAGCAACTGATGTTCAGTGATGAATGCTGGGGCTAATAATTTTGGAGAATTACCTATTGCTACAGTTCCTAACACATCAATAACTTTAAACAAATAAGATAAACCTTCCCCCACACGGCTTGGACCCACCTGTCAGTCAGGATCAATACAATAAGTGAAGCAGTTTCTTTAGGCATGTATGTTTATTTATTTTATTAACAACACAAAATTGGTGATGCTCTACACAAAATCTCATAGTTTGTACCAGGGCTGAGATGCATCCCGGATACTAAGACCGAAGCAGGTGGTTGTCTTAAGTGGTCACTCTCTGAGCCTTTCCCTCGAAATCGGATCTCTAGGCCAGTGGAACTGCGTCCCCATCGGTTGCCGGTGAACAAATCAGGTTCATACACCCCCTTCGATCCTTACAGATTCTGAGGCACATGAACACTAAAAGTTTGGAATTAGGGTTTTCCAGCTTCAACATTTGTTGTTTTACTTTTGTGAGGAACGTCGCTACCATGTGAAGGCAGTAAACAGGACTGATCAGACAGAGGCTATGCACGTACGGTCACACAATAGCATCTCAAGAGGGAGACCGAAATCTGCGCACCCCGGGCTGTACCAGGTCGTTTTTGTGGGGTGGGACATTTATAAGTATGACCATATTATACCTCGCTAAACTCAAGTCTTTGACGTCTCAATCAATCACGAGGAAACACTACCGCTTTTATCTGGCTACCTAGGTGACAGAATTTTTACAAAAAAAACCACGATTTAGACTGCTTCAAGAATTTTTGTATTTGTCTTCTCTTAATGACATTATGGAAATGAGATTCTCGTTCATTGATCAATTTTTGAAAGGATTCATAGATATGGCTCGTAACAAGTATTGTTAGACAGTCGTCTATATTTTTGATGACTATAATGTACCCCGGGACACGATACTATAATCAACTGATCATCTAAAAATACTCCCCGCATTGTGAGATGGAAATAAAGGTTAGATTCAACTACAACAGCCATGATAGCAACCTTTATCATCAGAAATACGTAGCGTATTTAATTTACAGAGTCTCAGCAATTCAAGTCCTCAATAAATAAGCAAATCTGATTGATCACCATCAATAGAAGGTGAAGAAGTAAATAAAAGAATCGAAAAACTATTAAATCAAGTTATTGTCATGTCAGTACACGCACACAAATGATGACTTCCGAGACTAACGAAGAAGCCCATCTGTCATAATACCTCTCCTTTTTTTCCTACAATGAGTTTTTATTTGGAGATCCATCTAACGATACCTTGTAGATTGTTTGTACACTCTGTGTCTATAATAGTTCTCTAACTGATGTTGAGGTCACTTAAGTGACTCAATGGGATTCGATCAAGAACGGCGTCACTGCCATCCGGTAACTGAGTGCCAAAGCATGAGCATGCTACTTCTAAAGCTAAAAGTGAACACTTTTCAGTTTTTAGAGGTAAACTAGACCCGTCCGTAGCTTTCTCTCACAATCTGTTTTATCTGTCGCATATTTATAGATACTGAACACGTCAAGTTGATGTTAGTTAACAAGGCAGGGCTGAGGAAAGGCAAATCATACGGGAATCAAATTCCAACTCTACACATCACCAACATCATCCAACAAAGCTTCGAATGCCAGTCAAATCTCTGTCCCGCTTTCACTAACTTTGAAAAGACGTTCAACAGCGTTGACGGCGAAGTAATTAGGAAATTGCTTCAACACTAAGGAGTCTGGTACCGCTAGCCTTTATCACCGTTATTAAACCACATCCATATGATGATGTCGTATACCAAATGATCTTCAACGGAAATCTCAGCGATAACTTTGAAGAAGTCAAGATAGGAGTAAGACGAGGCTGCCTACCTACTGTCTCCAATGATAATATTCCTGACTTTCGTGGGCCGGATCATGGAACAGACAATAATTGGGAGTGAGGCGACAGACATAAATTGAACTGCCAAGGAGACTCTAGAATATTTCTCACACAAAATCGAAGATATGAAGGCTGAAAAAGGCAAAAAGTTGTCAGAGGAAGCACTGAAAGAAACAATAATGATAGTATAACTGCCGCATAAATTTTCCACGTCAAGTTTTTCTCATATATTTACTTTATTATTAGATATTTTTATGCATACTGTCACTCAAACTAGCGCATATCTATTTGAACTGTAATTCTATTCATCTTTCTAACAAGGCTATATTATTTAGGAAAAAAGTACATTAATGTCGTTGTCAGTAACAAATACTCTTTTAACATTATGTGTATGTGTATATATAACTATATTAGACAGACGAAGAAGAGGTTATCGAAAGCGAATATCCTTTGCTCAGTCCTTCTTTGCCTTCCTAATATCTAAATAGGATTTTTTTTCGTACATACGAAACAGACTGTTGGGAATAGATGATCATACTGTTTTAGCTTTGTTCAATTCTCTGAGCTAGGTTGTTAAATTTGGGACAATCTATTCAGGGTTAACTGCAATGGTCCACTTATGATAGAGAGTACAGTCGTGTGATTGCTATATGGGGTGTCACTGTATAGAGGATGATTGTTCGTTTTCCAATGAAAATCATTGTATAATAACCTAATAGGCTTTGGAAATAAATATGATTCTCCTAAGGTGGTCAACTTCCATGTCATCATCTCACGCAAGTGCCTAGTTGGTTGCCTAGGCCATTTTAAATACGTTGCACACGATGCTGTGAGTATAAACATGAAGAAACTCAACTGAGTACGGACAGTGGTGGAAAAAGTGAACAGTCATACGTGGCGGGCGCCTCCACGTGGTGACTGTTGAGGAGGGCTTAGCTTGCTGGGTCTGAGCTAAGACCCATCAAATGCATGAACAGCAGTAGTGCTTGGCTACTCGCCTCAACTGACAGGTGCAGGGAAAAGGTTTTGGTTTCATGAGGAGATCTAATGGTGGCTCCGACAGACCCATCAACATCCAACCGATGTTGAGCCAGCCTGTCAGGACCAGCTGCGGTTAGCAAGTTGAAAGTGGTGATATAGTCTTTTGATCGAGGTTTTGTTAGAAGGGTGTTTGGCAGGGCTGCCATATCAAATACAGTATTAATGCAAATGAGTTAGTAGATCGGAGGTCTCGGTCTTGTACAGTGGGGCCGGCTGGGTTGTATCCAGTGCAAATGTGGCCTAATGAATGTGTAAACAGGACTTTACAAGGGGCCGCCCCTATGTTTCCTTAGATTTCCTAAAAGGCAGGTCATGGGTAAATATCGGAATTTAAGCAAACCATCTAACTTGCCACCACCTTATTAAATGTACGAACAATCACCTCTCGGCGACAGTCGAGGAGAAATGAACCCAGTTGCTAATCTGCTCTATAGAGGGAAACAATGAGATAGCTTAATATCTCATCATTATATCCTACTAATGGTAAGTGAACAGGGTATTGCAGTGTGTTCGACCCGAATCCAGCTACCCTGGCAGGAACCTCAACGTGGTTTCGCTGGATGGGGCTAAACTGTAGTGACTCCAAGCTAAACCCCATAGGGAATGCCACTAGCGCCATAACTCCGGTCAAAGTTTCCTTAAGGTGCTATGACATCCTTCTGGCTTGGTCAGAGTGATGGTGTGTTCGGTAGTCTGGCCGTTAAAACTGAGTGACATTATCCGCTAGTAGCAGTCTCGTATTCCAGTATCAGAAACTTAAAAGGTGAAATTATTACCGTCGAAACCAACTAACTTAGTCAGTTAGTTAGTGGGTTAGTTATTTAGTTGCATAGTTAGTTATTTCGTTAATCAGCTAGTGAGTTAGTTGGATAATTATATAGGCAATCAGTTATTCAGTTTTGTATTTATTTGGTTCTTCAGCTAGTTAGTTAGTCAGTTAGATAGTCATTTATTTATTTAGTTAGTTAGTTACTTATTTAGTTATTTGGGTAAATACGTAGTTATTAGGTTAGTTAGTTGGGCAGTTAGTTATTTAGTTGCTTAATGAGTAAACTATCCAGCTATTAGTTAATTTGTTACACAATACACAGTTAGTTATTTTCTTGATTAGTTATTTATTCCGCTAGCTATTTAGTCAGTTATTTAGTTGGTTAGTTAATTAATTAGTTAGATAGTTAGTTAGCTTGTTAATGAGGTACTTAAAAATAAGTCAGTTAGTTTTTTAGTTACTTGGTGAGTGAGCTGTTTACTTATCTAAAAAAATTTGTTGGTGCATTAGTTACTTAGTTAGCTGCTAATTTAACTGGTTATTTAACTTGTTAGTTATTTAAAAAAATTTTTCAGTTAGTTAGCGAATTAGTCAGTCTGTTAGTTAGTTAGTTAGTTAGTTATACAGTTTATTATGTCTTAAATAATTAGTGTACTATGCTGTTTTGCAATGTGATCAGTGAGGTCGTATGTGTGTGTGTGTGTACGCGCCAGTGGCATTGGCTGGCTGTTGAGCTAAACTAGTGAATTGGCAGAAATTAGAATACATGGGCCAATGAATTCCGACTTAGGCAAGTGAACCATGAACGAGCTTGCTTTGTAAACTGAGGGCTCTTTATTGGTTCTCCTGTGCTGCCGTGAGTGCATAATGGCTTAGAATCCCAGAGTAGGCGGGACAAATAACCTGTTGGTATACAATGTTTCGCGCACTGATATCAGTGCATGATCAAAACTGATACATAATATAGCGCAGGTCAAATTCCAAATATAACAGCTCGATAAATAGATTGTTTTTATGTACACACATATATGAAAAATGATACACATAATTGTACAAAACGTGATAAAATGTCTCATGAAAAAACACATTGCGTAACATTCCTAATCGAATAAAATACTTCAGTTTTGTTATGTTATGTGAATAAAAACAGGAATGAATAGAGTCAGTGAGACACAATAAGGTATTAAAGGTCGTACATTAAAACATACATATATGTAACTACATACATTTAGACTATTGGTGGTTGTTTGTGTGTAGAAATTCGGATTAACCTTTTCGTAAGTGTTTCGTCCCTAATTAACATCGGTAACAAAGGATCACTCAAAGATAGCTGTTTCGTCCACCCACCCACCTCCAGACTGCTCAGCAGCAATACTCATCCATGACGAAATCAATATTGACATCAATCTCCTATTCACTACCAGCTACTGAATGCATGTCCTGATGAGAAATCGTGGGCGTTGGGGGTTGACTATGTGTGGCGTGAAGTGGATGTGCTTATCTAAGGTATTGTGGGTAAGGGTAGTGGCATTGTATCACAAACTGACAAATGTTAGAATTCACATATCACCGAATTCCTGACCAACTGGATGAATGGTCAATCAGGGTTGGTCCCTCAACCAGAAGATCCCGAGTGATTCGATGATGATGGTTATTTGGTTTGTTAACAGATCAATATCACCCATACACTGTATGTCTAAGATAGTGAATAACCCTGAGTTGAATTCACACTCGATGGATACAAGGAGGGCGAAGGGGCAGAGCTCAAATTTAGACAACCAACAGGCGCGAACACCGCACCAGCGACTACGGAAACGGCCATTGTACTCAACCCACTAAATCTCTCCATCACATAACCCTAACATACCTCTAACCAACCCTGATATCCCTTCCCCCGAATCTCTGTCTAACCTGTCACGGGCCTAAACTGAACCTTAATCTTTCCCCATCTTAACACAACTTAAACTAACCAGATGTTCAGTTGAATAACATTAAACTTCAATCAACACTTCGTTCGCTATTGAATCTAGCGTTATGTACCTGGTTTCACTGTCTGTCTCGCCCCAAATATGAGCGTGCTCCAGTGTTCTTGGTGCCGTGTTCTTCCGCCTGTATAGGCTATCTCAAGTTCAGCTGACATTCAACGGTCCATTAAAGTTGACTGCTGATAATTTCCCATCGTATGTAAGATGCACGGATGATATTCTCATCCTTCGTGACGATAATTATAAACTCAATCAGTTGTGACAGGTATTTAACAACTGACATCCAGAAATGAAATTCATTCTTCAAATGGAAAACGAATCCGAAATTCTGTTTCTTCATGTGGAGCTGACGAAGAGAGATTATGGAAACTTAAGAAGGTCAGTCCATAGGAAATCTACATGGAATGGTCAACTGACAAATTTCTACAGTTGGATCCTTTCCGAATGACAGTGAAACTTAATTAAATCCCTCTCCACTCGGATCCGACTTACCTGTAGTCCTGAAACTGTAGGTGAAGAATTAGACCTTCTGGTGGAAATCTTCATCTCAAATAGATACACCTCCAGGTTTCATTGATAGGAGCATCAAAACAAGAGTGCACAGAAATGAAACATCGTTTGTGCAAAATCAGAAACTTCACTCTAACCTTGATTTCAAAGGAGATTTAACACATGAAGACTTTCAGTGTCCTCAGGAATAACACTAGTGACAGGAAAGCTAAGTGTTGTGTTCTTCTCAAGTCGTCGACTGGTCTGCAGAAACCTGAGGGATAGAGTGTCTCATGTGAACACCTCTGAGTGCATGCATATCAGGTCACTTGTTCCTATGGAGTGAGGGATATTGAACGTTTGACGTGTATCCTGTCAAAGAGTGTAGTTTAAGAACACCATCCTACACGTGGTTTCAGAAGGATAGCATTGGTTCTATAAGGAGTAGGGATATTCAAATACCACTGTTGACACTGGTCATTTTATTTCAACAAACTTCTCATTGAAATATCATCCTGTTTGCTACTCACTAATTTGTATTTTTTTTAATTATTGTGTAGCTGTAATCCCATTATTCAATTTTGCTTATATACGTGTTAATATTAGCAACTATTATTATGACAACTCTTCACTGTTTTTCTATCCCCTTTTAAATGATTGTATAGCTAAAGAGGAAAATGAATTCACCAAATAGGGCCTCTTCAGTAAACAATACAACCTGTTTTTTTCTTCTCCTTACTGCCTGGATGGGAATTATCCATAAACTACAAGATGTCTTATTACTCAGAATTTGTTATAAACAGACACGGAGATCAGATTTACTGCATAATAAAAATGAGTTGGTTACATAGTCAAAAGGTCATTCAGTCTGTCT